GGGTGGCTAAAGCACAGCAAGTTGGCACAGTAGGGGGCACAGGTGGTGCATCAGCCAGTTATCTCGGTCATCTCGGTCAGTCGACCCGTGGCACCTGGGTCTGCCCCGTGACCTCCTGCCAGCGGGCTTTCGACACTTCACGTGGCCTCAAGGTGCACTTGGCCTGGCACAAGCATCGTGGTGACGTCACCGCCACTTAGTGGCGAATGGCGGTTGTTGTTGTTGTTGTATCTGTGTGTGTCTCTGTGTGTGTATCTGTGTGTGTCTCTGTGTGTATAACTGCTGCGTGTGTGTGTCTCTGTGTGTATAACTGCTGCGTGTGTATGTTTCCGTCTCTCTCTCTGTGTGTGGTAGCGTCCCTGCCGGCGCTCACCACCCTCCAGGTGTCCCACAACCACCTGGAGTCGCTGGACTCCATCAGGGCCCTGGCCTCGTGCCCCCGCCTCAGTGTCCTCGACCTCTCGCACAACCTCATCCGCGACCCGCAGCTCGTCGACATCCTCGCAGCCATGCCCAGCCTGGTGAGACACGGACAGAGAAGCGGGGACACGCGGGGACACGGAGACGTGGGAACGCATGGGGACACGGGGACACAGAGACACAGGGACGTGGGGACACACAGAGACACACGGAGGCACAGCGACACGGGGATAAAGAAACGCTGGGACACAGAGACACGGGGGCTCGACAAAGACACAGAGAACACAGGGACACGGAGACGTCGGGACACATGGGGACACGGGAACACAGAGACCCAGGGACACATGGACACACAGAGACACACGGAAGCACAGAGACACGGGGATAAAGAAACGCTGGGACACAGAGACACGGGGGCTCGACACAGATACAGAGACCCAGGGACACAGAGACGTGGGGACACAGACACATGGGGACACGCGAACACAGAGACACAGGGACACAGAGACGTGGGGACACATGGGGACACGGGGACACTGGGACACGGGGAAACACGAAGACACAGCAACGTGGGGATAAAGAAACGCTGAGACACAGAGACAGGGGGGCTCGACAAAGACACAGAGACACTGGGACACAGAGACACTGGGACACAGAGACACGGGGATAAAGAAACGCTGAGACACAGAGACACGGGGGCTCGACAAAGACACAGAGACACAGGGACGCAGAGACACTGGGACACAGAGACACGGGGATAAAGAAACGCTGGGACACAGAGACAGGGGGGCTCGACAAAGACACAGAGACACTGGGACACAGAGACACTGGGACACAGAGACACTGGGACACAGCGACACGGGGATAAAGAAACGCTGGGACACAGAGACACGGGGGCTCGACATTGACACAGAGACACAGGGACGCAGAGACGTGGGGACACATGAAGACACAGAAACGTGGGGACACAGGGACACACGGGTTCACACAGAGACACAGAGACGTGGGGATGAAGAAATGCTGGGACACAGAGACACGGGGGCTCGACACAGACACAGAGACACAGGGACGCAGAGACGTGGGGACACATGGGGACACTGGGACACACAAGAGACGCAGGGACACATGGACACACAGAGACACACGGAGACACAGAGACACGGGGATAAAGAAATGCTGGGACACAGAGACACGGGGGCTCGACACAGACACAGAGACACAGGGACACAGAGACACGGGGACATACGGGGACAGGGGAACTTGGAGATACGGGGAAGCAGACACTAGGACATTGAGACACAGAGACACGGGGGCAAATCATAGAGACACGGGGATACCATGACACGGAGATATGGGGAGGCAGACACTGGGACACGGACACACAGAGACACAGGGACAAGTCACGGGGACACGGGGACGTGGAGATACGGGGACACAGACACTGGGACACGGAGACACAAAGACACGGGGGCAAATCATAGAGACACGGGGATACCATGACACGGAGATATGGGGAGGCAGACACTGGGACACGGACACGCAGAGACACGGGGACAAGTCACGGGGACACGGGGACGTGGAGATACGGGGACACAGACACTGGGACACGGACACACGGAGACACGGGGACAAAATGGGCAACAGAGATGCGGTGGGCACAGGACATGGAGATGCGTGGACACGGAGACGTGGGCGCATGGGGGGTGGACATTGGAATGTGGTAGCTCACGGCCTTGTGCTATCGCCTGTGCTTGCCCGCGGTTACCCCCCGTGGTTACCCCCCGCGGTTACCCCCCGTGGTTACCCCCCGCGGTTACCCCGCGGTTACCCCGTGGTTACCCCCCGCGGTTACCCCGTGGTTACCCCGCGGTTACCCCGCGGTTACCCCCCGCGGTTACCCCGTGGTTACCCCGTGGTTACCCCCCGCGGTTACCCCCCGCGGTTACCCCCCGCGGTTACCCCTGCGGTTACCCCGTGGTTACCCCGTGATTACCCCCCGCGGTTACCCCGTGGTTACCCCCCGCGGTTACCCCGTGGTTACCCCGAGCGGTTACCCCGCGGTTACCCCCCGTGGTTACCCCGCGTGGTTACCCCGTGGTTACCCCCCGTGGTTACCCCCCGTGGTTACCCCCTGTGGTTACCCCCCGTGGTTACCCCCCACGGTTACCCCCCGCGGTTACCCCATGGTTACCCCCCGCGGTTACCCCCCGTGGTTACCCCCCCGCGGTTACCCCGTGGTTACCCCCCATGGTTACCCCCCATGGTTACCCCGCGTGGTTGTGCCCGCAGCGCGTGCTGACCCTGACGGGGAACGCGGTGGTGCGGGACATCCCCGACTACCGCCGCACGCTCACCGTGCGCCTGCCCCACCTCACCTTCCTGGACGACCGCCCCGTGTTCCCCAAGGACAGGTGAGGCCCGTGACGTCCGCCACACGCGCAGGATCAACACAACAACAACAACAGCAACAACAACAGCAGCCAACAACGATCCATACTCCATTGGAACCTCATTTGCCAGTAAAAAATATGATAATTGTTTTTTTACCCTTTTATCTGGCAACAAAACTGACACCTTTTTTACAAGGAGTCATGTTTGCATAGACCACAATACCTGCAGCCGTAATGCAAACAAAAAACATTACTCTGATAATGTATGCACTGTCCTTGAAGTTGATTGGTCCACACCCGAGACAGCTTTCCTTAGAGCCTAGGATCACATGGGTTGGACCAGATGACGCCAAAAGGCGCACAACTCAAAGACAATGCACCATCAGAGTATGAGAGCTCGGGGTAAGCATTTACACCATTGGAACCTCATTTGTCAGTAAAAATATGATAATTGGTTTGTTACCCTTCTATCTGGCAACAAAACTGACACCTTTTTTACAAGGAGTCATGTTTACATAGACCACAATACCTGCGGTCATAATGCAAACAAAAAACATAACTCTGATAATGTATGCACTGTCCTTGAAGTTGATTGGTCCACACCCGAGACAGCTTTCCTTAGAGCCTAGTCTCACATGGTGTTGGACCAGATGACGCCAAAAGGTATTGTGGTCTATGCAAACATGACTCCTTGTAAAAAAGGTGTCAGTTTTGTTGCCAGATAGAAGGGTAACAAACCAATTATCAACGATCCATACTCTTTGTTTTTTTTTTTCGGTGAAGTCACGTCGGTAAAAAAATCTAATCAAATAAGTGAAAACAACTAACTTCTTGGTTCTTTCGGTAAAGTCACGTAGAAGGGAAATAATAAAATAATAAAAATAAAACATAATTAAATAATTCTCACGACGTTTCGACCACAACGCAAGCAGCCGTCCTCAGGTGAAGAACAGGTCTGTCGGAAAGACAGCGTCTGAATGGACAGACCTGTTCTCCACCTGAGGACGGCTGCTTGCGTTGTGGCCGAAACGTCGTGAGAATTATTGTATTATGTTTATTTTTATTATTTTATTATTTCCCTTCTACGTGACTTTACCGAAAGAACCAAGAAGATGAATCCCTGCAGTCACGAAAGCTTTAAATTGAAAAATGAAAACAACTAAATTAAATCACGACGTTTTGGGCGCAACACAAGTTTCAAGTTCAATTTTAGTTTAAAGTTTCATGTATTATGTATAGCCCTGTGAGCCATTCGGCTCTTGAATCGGGTGCAACCGCAACAAACAAAAAAACAAAAACATGAACAAGAAAACATCTTAAAGTGACTATGTGACTAAGTGCAAACAGAAAATCCAAGAAAAGACAGCAAAATATTGCAGAACAAGCACCGTACACCAACGCTGTGTGCAAACATCCCAGTGGGATGCAAGTCAAACAACAACAACAACCACAAGCGTCCTTCTTCAGGTGAGGACGACGCAGCGAAAGCACAACCTCTTCAGGGTGTCTAAGAGATTTTCTTAGGTTTTTTCGGTAAAGTCACGTAGGTTAAAAATTAAAATTAATAAAATAAAATTATTTTTAACTTTTTTAATTTTTTACCTACGTGACTTTACCGAAAAAACCTAAGAATATGAATCCTTGCAGTCACGAAAGCTTCAAATCTAGAATGTCTAAGAGATGGTTGTGACGAGGAGTTACATAGTCACGGGGGATGGAGGGAGGGGGGGGTCATGGTGAGTGTGTGGGCTGTGGACTGGGAGGCAACGATGTGAGGAACAGGGAGGGCGCTGTGAGGCAACGCATGGAGTTCAAACTGAAGCTTTGTGATGCAGGGGGCGTAAGTAGATAAGGAAGCTAAGATTAAGCAGCCTTTTGTTATGCTGCCGGGTGGGGCAAATTAGAAATGTGCAAGATGAACGCTGACGTGTGGTCATGGTGACTTCACTGAAAAAAACACAAAGAGTATGAATCCTTGCAGTCACGAAAGCCTCAAATCTAGAGCCAACAACGACTCATCCGTGACGCCTCCTGGAAAGAGAAAACTCCTTTTGGACGGAGCCAGACTTAACACCCTTCCCCTCGAGGCTTAAAACACAAGCAGTGAAACGTCGTGAAAACCACTCTGAGGCATCTCCTTTACCAGTGGCAAAATATAGTAGTAGGTTTTTACCCTTTCAACTGGTACAAAAACTGACACCTTTATACAATATTCTTAGGTTTTTTCGGTAAAGTCACGTAGGTGAAAAATTAAAATTAAAATTAATAAAAGTAAAATAAAAATCAAGGCATCATGTTTGCAATAACCACAACACAAGCAGTCAAAATGCAAACACAAAGAAACAACTCTGATGATGATAATGACATGCACTGTCCTTGAAGTTGATTGGTCCACACCCGAGACAAGTGTGTGAGTGAGTGGGTGTGTGAGTGAGTGGGTAAGTGTGTGAGTAAGCGAGTGTGTGAGTAAGCGAGTGGGTGAATGTGTGAGTGAGTGAGTGGGTGAGTGGGTAAGTGTGTGGGTAGGTGAGTGGGTGAGTGTGTGGGTGGGTGGGTGAGTGAGTGAGTGAGTGAGTGGGTGAGTGAGTGAGTGAGTGATTGGGTGGGTGAGTGAGTGAGTGTGTGAATGAGTGGGTGGGTGAGTGAGTGGGTGGGTGAGTGGGTGAGTGAGTGGGTGGGTGGGTGAGTGAGTGGGTGAGTGGGTGGGTGAGTGGGCGAGTGAGCGGCACGGGCTGGAGCAGAGACAGAGCTGATGCGGCACAGGAGGGACGTGGAGCTGGCTGGACTTGCCGATGCCCGCCACCAGTGGTGTCACCCCCCTCGTTCCAGCCTTCACGAGCGCCGCTTCTCGCCGTGACAGCAACGGTTCGTCAAGGCCACGCAGGGAGCCTTCGTCTTCGTTATTGAACGGTGCCCATCACCCCCCCCCCGCCCCCGTCTCAGGGCGTGTGCCGAGGCCTGGGCACGGGGGGGCCGGGCGGCGGAGCGTGCGGAGCGCGCCGCGTGGGAGACGCGGGAGCGCCGGCGCCTGCAGGAGGCCACCGCGGCGCTGGGGCAGCGGCGCTCGGGGCGGAGAGTCCGGGCCGACGGTGACAGCTCCTCCACCACAGGTGGCGAACCTCGCTTCAACAACAACAACACCAACACCATCACCACCACCACCATCACCACCGCCACCACCACCACCGCCACCACCGCCACCACCATCACCACCACCACCACACTCTCAGCTTCAACAACAACAACACCAACACCACCACCGCCACCACCACCACCACACTCCCGGCTTCCACAACACGCAGCTCACCAGCGAGCCCAGCACGGTCTGTGCCGGTCGGCGTGGGTGGTGAGGGTGGTGAGGGTGGTGAGGCTGACGTCACTGCCCTCCCTTCACCCTCCAGGGGCCAGTGGCAAGCAGACCGGCGGTGGCGGCGCCTGCGGTGGGGGCGGTGATGAGGGCGGTGAAGGCGGTGAGGGCGGTGAGGGTGGTGAGGGTGGTGAGGGCGGTGAGGGTCATGAGGGTGTTGATGGTGGTGAGGGTGGTGAGGGTGTTGATGGTGGTGAGGGTGGTGAGGGTGTTGATGGTGGTGAGGGCGGTGAGGGTGGTGAGAGCGGTGAGGGCGGTGAGGGTGGTGAGAGCGGTGAGGGTGGTGAGGGTGGTGAGGTTGGTGAGCCACAGTTGGACCGCCGTCCCGATGGGACTGGGCCGGGAGGTGCGGTGAGGCCGGGCGGCAGCAGCAGCAGCAGTAGCGGCAGGAGCAGCAGCCGCGTGCAGGAGGTGGAGGATGGTGGCAGCGCGGGACGACACCAGCAGAAACATCAGCCTTGACGTGAGTGAGAAGAGTGTGAGTGAGGTAGTGAGGTGAGAGTGATGAGTGTGAGGTGAGTGAGGTGAGTGAGGTGAGATGAGTGAGGTGAGTGAGGTGAGAGAAGCACCGTGGTGACGTCACCACCACTTAGTGGTGAAAGGCGCTTGTTGTTGTTGTTGTTTGTGCCCAAAGGAGTAGTGTAGTTACTAGCGCTACACTGCGCTACGAACCCGGTGGCCCGAGTTCGATTCCCGCTCACGGCCAACACCGGTGAGGATTTTCTGAACCGGTCTTGAGCCTCCCCTAGGTCGACTCAGCCTCAATTTACGCGGTGTGTAAATATCGCCACTGGCGGTGACCGGGCGTGGTGCTAGCCACCCACCCCCTCGTGTGCCGTGGCGGCCTTCGTAGGTGCTACTCGCCAACAGCACTTGCCCCTGCAGTCTGTTAAAGGCTACACGGGGATCTTTGCCCTTTGTTGTGCGCACAGGACTTGCCCGACCTGGAGGAGGCGCCGGTCTGTGGTGAGGAACTGTGGGACCCGGCCTCTCAGCACCCCGGGGTGAGCCACGACCGCTCACTCCTTCACTTCTCAGCTCCCACAATCTCAGCCTCGTTGTGTGTGTGTATGTACGTCAGAGGTCGCAACCGGGTACCCGATACCCGTACCCTACCCGATACCCGGCTACCCGTACCCGGCCGGGTACAGGTACGGGTACCTGTTTGCGACCCTGGTGCGGCCGGGTACGGGTAGGCCGTGAGTCACTGGTGAGTCACCGTTTGTCACTCATTTCCCAACGTCTTGTCTCTTCTCACAATTCAAGTTCCGAGAATCAACCCACCCGCGCCTGCAACATGGCTTCATCCCAGAGGTCGCAATCAGGTACCCGATACCCGTACCCTACCCGTACCCGGCCGGGTACGGGCCGGGTACGGGTACGGCCGGGTACGGGTACGGCCGGGTACCCGTTTGCGACCCTGGTGCGGCCGGGTACGGGTAAGGAATCAAAACCCGTTTGCGACCTCTGTCCCTGGGACAACAGCGGTGCTCCTAGAGCAAGCACGCCGGTGGTCGTAGATTCGAGAGAGATCCTGGGAAACATCGTGCCTTGCAATCCTCTTCCAGATCGTGAGGCTGGCGTCACATCCAGTCAGCCAGCTCTCTCTGGCAAAGTCCAAAGCAGAATTATACAGCGAGGGAAAAAAGTATTTGATCCCCTGCTGATTTTGTACGTTTGCCCACTGACGAAGAAATGATCAGTCTATAATTTTAATGGTAGGTCTTTTATACAGACTGAGATTAGGAGCACACTCTTTAAGAGTGTGCTCCTAATCTTTCTGATTGAGAGGGGGTCAAATACTTATTTAAAAATGGAAATCAATTTATAACATTTTTGACATACGTTTTTCTGGATTTTGTTGTTGTTATTCTGTCTCTCACTGTTCAAATAAACCTACCATCAAAATTATAGACTGATCATTTCTTTGTCAGTGGGCAAACGTACAAAATGAGCAGGGGATCAAATACTTTTTTTCCCTCACTCTACGTATCTCTGTGTATCTCTGTCCGTTCGCCAATGGTGAAGGCCACACAGGGGGTCTTGGTCTTCGTGTTCCGTTTAAGATTGATTTATGAAGGGTTCAACTTCTCCCGTTTGCCAAGAAAACACGTAACCCGGTACGCTCCGCTTTGTGCCGAGGGTGATTTTTAAATCCTTTATATTAAGTTCACTTGCGTGCTTGCTTGCGCGCTTACGGCCGTGCAAATCTTTCGGCCGTTTTTAACCCACTTCCCGTGATCCAATTGAGCTAAAATTTTGCACACAGACTCGTTGTGCGTGACAATTAATTTTCGCGAAAACTTTTTTCCAAAATTTTTCACTTTTTAGGAGAAAAATTATTTTTAATTACCAATTGCTTAATGGTGGCAGGCAATCATCTGACCCATAGGTGGCAGCCATCTCAAGCCAGAGGACGAGAGGACTCTGGCCGCCACGCATGTAAAGGATTTATAGTGAAAAACTTTGTTTTTACGGGTTAATTTTTTACCACTTAACCTCTGCTTGCCGCTGCCTTCTCACAGGAGGTGCTGTTCCCCTGGCAAAGCCCAGCAGCCATCGGGGCCGGCAGGGCCCCTGGGGTCGCTGGGGAGCGTGGCGCGTCGTGCCGGGGCGTGGTGAAGCGGCCGCTCATCGAGGAGATCTCGTCCATGCCTGCCCAGGGCCTGCTCGCCTCCCTTGGGCCGTCGTAAACCAGACGACACTGAGGGCCGTTCAATTTCGATTTAAAGCTTTCGTGACTGCAGGGATTCATCTTCTTGGTTGAAGACAGAGTCTTCAGACGCTGTCTTCTCGACAGACCTGTTCTTCAGCTGTTGTGGCCGAAACGTCGTGAGAATTATTTTATAATGTTTTATTTTTATTCTTTTATTATTTCCATTCTACCTGACTTTACCGAAAGAACCAAGAAAACTGAGGGCCGTGTTAGACCGGCTCACCGTGTTAGACCGGCTCACCGTGTTAGACCGGCTCACCGTGTTAGACCGGCTCACCGTGTTAGACCGGCTCACCGTGTTAGACCGGCTCACACTGAGAGTCGTGTTAGACCGGCTCACCGTGTTAGATCGGCTCACTCTGAGAAAGCCGTGAGCCAGTTTAACGTGAGACCTATGATGTACGTGTTTTATGGGTTTAAATATAATTAAACTGTGACACCAGTTTAAACTGAGTTGTGATCAACCAGTATTACATGAAGCTGATATCCGTCGGTGTGAGCCCAGTGTGGAGTTTGTGTGTGTATGGAACGAGACCTGGGCCTCAGGGACTGATGCTCAGGATGGATTCGTCGTCTGCAGCAGCAGCAGCAACAGTCTGTGAGCCATGAATATCAACATTAAACAGGGAGAAGGAACCCATGTTTCGTTTTGTCTCTCTCTGTGTGTCTGTGTGTCTGTGTTGTGTGTCTCTCTCTCTGTGTGTCTGTGTGTCTATGTTGTGTGTCTCTCTCTGTGTGTCTATGTTGTGTGTCTCTCTCTGTGTGTGTCTCTGTGTTATCTCTCTCTGCTTGTGTGTCTGTCTGTGTGTCTCCGTGTCTGTGTTCTGTCTTTCTCTCAAATTTAGCAATCTTTGTAGGAACATTAATCAACCAGGTGAGGTGTTATTGACTGTTATGTTAGCCGACTCTGTGTGTTGTATTGCGTTATATTTATAACTTTACTAGGTTTGCACCATTGGAACCTCATTTGCCAGTAGCAAAATATGATAATTGTTTTTTTACCCTTTTATCTGGCAACAAAACTGACACCTTTTTTATAATATATATTTTTAATAATATTATTTACTAGGTTTGTTTTCTATTTCATTTGTACCTGATGATTGCTGGTGTTGCAATCGAAACGTCGTGTGCTATTATTTAATTCATTATGTTATCTTTCTACGTAACTCTACCGAAAGAACCGACGAGTAATGTGTGCATCATAAAACAATGTTCGTTTCACGTATTCTACCACGAGCATGATGTGTGGTCCCTGCAGGCTTGATAATAGAATGCAACCTACAACATTACACGTACACATTCGGCCCTTTTTCGGGTACAAAACTCGCAACACACATTATTGGCTGCCCACAGTAAACCACCCTGTGTAGGCATGCAGTTGTGCTGGGTAGACATTGACGGACAACTTGTTGCGAGGCAACGCGATGTTTATTTGGCTCTTGTACGGTGTCCCTAACACAACGGGGTAGAGCGGCCCCTTTACCCGCTACCTGGCGAGGTAACGGGCCCGAGCACTGGTGAACCCGTTAACAAACTCCTTGGGTAAAGTCCACGTGGGTATAAAATATCAAATAAATCACGACGTTTCGGGCGCAACACAAGCAGTCCGTCATCAGCTGGGACAACCACAGCAAGAAACCAGAATCAGAAAGGGTTTCATTGGCCATGAAAGTTTGCACAGACAAGGAATTTACTATGGCAGGAAGGTGCATACATTCAACATGTACGAATCTTAAAACGTAAATAAGTGGTATACAGTCTAACTATACTAAAATTACAATAGTCTAACTAATACTCAGGGGGTAAAGTATGTCAAATTTTGAATAAGTATACAATATAAAATGTAAACTAGCCATAATATACAATCCTAAAATACAAAAATACAAATAGGGTAACGTTGTTGTAAATATGGCAAGGTGTAATTTTGTAGATAAAATGTTAAAGTGTAAAAGTCATTTTAAGCCCTTGTCCTTGCTGAAGTGGGCAAAAGGGGGCTGCTTTAACAAGAAGCTCCTCCCCGCCTCTCTTACCTAGATGGCCACTTGTTATTTATCTACCCACGTGGATTTTACCGAAAGCACCAAAGAGTACGGATCCCTGCAGTCACGAGAACTTCGACTCGAGATTGAACCCCGTTTACCTTCCGCCCTCCGCCTGGGCGCTTGGGGAGGAGGCTACGCTGAGCCGACCGTGCCGGGGGCTTCGGGTCCTGACCACCGGCCTCACTCAGCTCCGGCCCTTCAAGTTCAAGTTCATATATTAGGTATATAGCCCTGTGAGCCATTCGGCTCTTGAATCGGGTGCAACCGCAACAAACAAAAACATGAACAAAAAACATCTTAACGTGAATATGTGACTGAGTGCAAACAGAAATACAAGAAAAGACAGCAAAACATTGCATAAAAAAAATCACCGTACACCAACGCTGTGTGCAAAAATCCCAGTGGGATGCACGCAGAGGTGGGACAAAGTCATTGTTATGCAAGTCCAAGTCGAGTCTGAAGTCATCAAATTCATGACTCGAGTCTGACTCGAGTCCAAGTCACATGACTCGAGTCCACACCTCAGAGGTGGGACAAAGTCATTGTTATGCAAGTCCAAGTCGAGTCTGAAGTCATCAAATTCATGACTCGAGTCTGACTCGAGTCCAAGTCACATGACTCGAGTCCACACCTCAGGATGCACGTCAAACAACCAACAACAACCACAAGACAACTTAGATTAAGGCCATCAGTCTAACTCTGTACTACAACAAACAAACATGGTTAAACCGAAAAACTTTTCAAAATAAAGCCATGAAAGCAATGAAACGGATGAGCTTGGGGTTCAGGGTCCTAACCTCAGCCCAGGTCTTCGGTCTATCGGCTTGGAGGTGACTGAGCCGGACCCTTGAGAGGTCCGGCTTCTGTACCGGTCCGTGGCTTGCTCCGCCCCGGTCCCCGCCTCCTTTCTAGAACTTTTTGGGAGGTGACGTCACCCCCGGTCCCCGCCTCCCTTCTAGAACTTTCTGGGAGGTGACGTCACCCCCGGTCCCCGCCTCCCTTCTAGAACTTTCTGGGAGGTGACGTCACCTCCCGGTCCCCCGCCTCCCTTCTAGAACTTTCTGGGAGGTGACGTCACCCCCCGGTCCCCCGCCTCCCTTCTAGAACTTTCTGGGAGGTGACGTCATCCCCCGGTCCCCGCCTCCCTTCTAGAACTTTCTGGGAGGTGACGTCATCCCCCGGTCCCCGCCTTCCTTCTAGAACTTTCTGGGAGGTGACGTCACCCCCCGGTCCCCGCCTCCCTTCTAGAACTTTCTGGGAGGTGATGTCACCCCCGGTCCCCTGCCTCCCTTCTAGAACTTTCTGGGAGGTGACGTCACCCCCGGTCCCCGCCTCCCTTCTAGAACTTTCTGGGAGGTGACGTCACCCCCCGGTCCCCCGCCTCCCTTCTAGAACTTTCTGGGAGGTGACGTCATCCCCCGGTCCCCGCCTCCCTTCTAGAACTTTCTGGGAGGTGACGTCACCCCCCGGTCCCCGCCTCCCGCCTCCCTTCTAGAACTTTCTGGGAGGTGATGTCAACCCCGGTCCCCTGCCTCCCTTCTAGAACTTTCTGGTAGGTGACGTCACCCCCGGTCCCCGCCTCCCTTCTAGAATTTTCTGGGAGGTGACGTCACCCCCCGGTCCCCCGCCTCCCTTCTAGAACTTTCTGGGAGGTGACGTCATCCCCCGGTCCCCGCCTCCCTTCTAGAACTTTCTGGGAGGTGACGTCACCCTCGGTCCTCGCCTCCCTTCTAGAACTTTCTGGGAGGTGACGTCACCCCCGGTCCCCGCCTCCCTTCTAGAACTTTCTGGGAGGTGACGTCACCCCCCGGTCCCCCGCCTTTCTTCTAGAACTTTCTGGGAGGTGACGTCACCCCCCGGTCCCCCGCCTCCCTTCTAGAACTTTCTGGGAGGTGACGTCATCCCCGGTCCCCCGCCTCCCTTCTAGAACTTCTGGGAGGTGACGTCACCCCCCGGTCCCCGCCTCCCTTCTAGAACTTTCTGGGAGGTGACGTCACCCCCGGTCCCCGCCTCCCTTCTAGAACTTTCTGGGAGGTGACGTCACCCCCCGGTCCCCCGCCTCCCTTCTAGAACTTTCTGGGAGGTGACGTCACCTCCCGGTCCCCCGCCTCCCTTCTAGAACTTTCTGGGAGGTGACGTCACCCCCCGGTCCCCCGCCTCCCTTCTAGAACTTTCTGGGAGGTGACGTCATCCCGCGGTCCCCGCCTCCCTTCTAGAACTTTCTGGGAGGTGACGTCATCCCCCGGTCCCCCGCCTCCCTTCTAGAACTTTCTGGGAGGTGACGTCACCTTCCGGTCCCCGCCTCCCTTCTAGAACTTTCTGGGAGGTGATGTCACCCCCGGTCCCCTGCCTCCCTTCTAGAACTTTCTGGGAGGTGACGTCACCCCCGGTCCCCGCCTCCCTTCTAGAACTTTCTGGGAGGTGACGTCACCCCCCGGTCCCCCGCCTCCCTTCTAGAACTTTCTGGGAGGTGACGTCATCCCCGGTCCCCCGCCTCCCTTCTAGAACTTCTGGGAGGTGAGTCACCCCCCCGGTCCCCGCCTCCCGCCTCCTTCTAGAACTTTCTGGAGGTGATGTCACAACCCGGTCCCCTGCTCCCTTCTAGAATTGTTCTGGGAGGTGACGTCACCCCCGGTCCCCGCCTCCCTTCTAGAACTTTCTGGAGGGTGACGTCACCCCCCGGTCCCCCGCCTCCCTTCTAGAACTTTCTGGGAGGTGACGTCATCCCCCGGTCCCCCGCCTCCCTTCTAGAACTTTCTGGGGAGGTGACGTCAACCTCGGTCCTCGCCTCCCTTCTAGAACTTTCCTGGGGAGGTGACGTCACCCCCAGCTCCGCCTCCCTTCAAGAACTTTCTGGGAGGTGACGTCACCTCCGATCCCCGCCTCCACTTCTAGAACTTTCTGGGAGGTGACCGTCACCCCCCGGTCCCCGCCTCCCTTCTAGAACTTTCTGGGAGGTGACGTCACCCCGGTCCCCGCCTCCCTTCTAGAACTTTCTGGGAGGTGACGTCACCCCCCGGTCCCCCGCCTCCCTTCTAGAACTTTCTGGGAGGTGACGTCCCCCCCCGGTCCCCGCCTCCCTTCTAGAACTTTCTGGGAGGTGACGTCACCCCCGGTCCCCGCCTCCCTTCTAGAACTTTCTGGGAGGTGACGTCACCCCCGATCCCCGCCTCCTTTCTAGAACTTTCTGGGAGGTGACGTCACCCCCCGGTCCCCCGCCTCCTTTCTAGAACTTTCTGGGGAGGTGACGTCACCCCCCGGTCCCCCGCCTCCCTTCTAGAACTTTCTGGGAGGTGACGTCATCCCCCGGTCCCCGCCTCCCTTCTAGAACTTTCTGGGAGGTGACGTCACCCCCCGGTCCCCGCCTCCCGCCTCCTTCTAGAACTTTCTGGGAGGTGATGTCACCCCCCGGTCCCCTGCCTCCCTTCTAGAACTTTCTGGGAGGTGACGTCACCCCCGGTCCCCGCCTCCCGCCTCTCTTCTAGAACTTTCTGGGAGGTGACGTCACCCCCCGGCCCCCCGCCTCCCTTCTAGAACTTTCTGGTAGGTGACGTCATCCCCCCGGTCCCCGCCTCCCTTCTAGAACTTTCTGGGAGGTGACGTCACCCCCCGGTCCCCACCTCCCTTCTAGAACTTTCTGGGAGGTGACGTCACCCCCGGTCCCCGCCTCCCTTCTAGAACTTTCTGGGAGGTGACGTCACCCCCGATCCCCGCCTCCCTTCTAGAACTTTCTGGGAGGTGACGTCACCCCCCGGTCCCCGCCTCCCTTCTAGAACTTTCTGGGAGGTGACGTCACCCCCGGTCCCCGCCTCCCTTCTAGAACTTTCTGGGAGGTGACGTCACCCCCCGGTCCCCCGCCTCCCTT